TGTTATGTTCAGGTTATTCAATATAGGTAACATATATATCTAGCATTTCTAATTAGTAGTAATACTTTGTGTGATTCCTTAGTTTTCAAAGTACTTTTTAATATAACATCTAATTTTTTCTACCTCCAGCTCCATAAGGAAGGAGGGCATATGTTTTCTCACTTTCACTAGATGAAACTAGGAACCAGGGCTACTGTGCAGTAGACCTGGGACTTAAAGACTAGATCTTCTGACTCTAACTAACCATGCTAATTTTCTAATTTTTAAAGAATCAAAATAAAGGAACATATAACATTGAAACAATATTGAATGCAATTTATTCTCCTTGGAAGATTCAAAACTCATTTTAGATTGTATATGGAATTGTATTTGTAAAGTAGTCATCTCCATAGCATTCAGTGCAGAGAAGATGATTAGTCGAGCTGTCTGGTTAACCCAAGTCCATCTCTATTCTAGCGCACTTTTACAAATCTGGAATTTTATCACTTCAAGGAAATCATGGTCCCTAGAATTGGTATACACTTAAACTTAATTTGGTATCCATAACTGGTATCCACTTTGTCCTTTATGGTTACATATCATATCTGAGCTCTTCTTCCCTGATTATAAAATAGAAATTATATACATACATAAACCCACTCTCACACTGGACAGCAAGGATTAAATGAGATACTCCTGTAAAGAATTAGTATTGTGCCTTCCAACACACAGTAGCTACAGGGGAGAATTTAAAAAACGAAAACAAAAAACAGTTGACATCTTCACCAGAACACTAAAAAAATAAATAAATAAATCGTTGGACAAAACAAAGCAGAAACATCATCAAACTTGCACTTTAAAAAATTCAATTTTGGGTTTCTATGGTTATAAAAGTAATTCACGCTTATTAGACAAAGACAATGAAAATCACCCATAATGCCACCACACAGTGATAATCACTGCTAATATTGGTGTATACCCCTTTAAAATTTCTCTCTCTCTCTCTCTCACACACATACACACACATGCACGCGCACGCACGCACAGGCAAGTTTTGTGTGCATGTTTTAAACAAATGAGATCAATTAACTCAATTCTGTATTCCCTGAATGGAAAAATCTAGCCCCTCTAGTAGAAATAAACAAACAGAAATAAAGCCCTAAACTCCTCAAATTATACAGTACATAAGAAAGGCTATTTTATAATCAGTTTTTAATTTAATATACCACAGTATTATTCTACTGTGATAGAGAGATAATCATCATTTCTAGTATCTAATATTTTACTGCATATTCACTTCTAGTCTCTTCTGGGCTAAGCTGCTCTTCTTTCCAGGTAAACATCACTACTATAATTTATTCAGTCACATTATGCTCAGCTTTCCTTTTTGTAAACAATGGCATGAGCATATATCCTTGCTTACTTGGAGGGCATAACACGCACATTGAAAATTTTGCAACCTGTCTTCTGGAAAAATTTTACCAATGTACATCCTATTGCTGATACTTTATATTCCCATCACCTTGCCTATCTAGGTTTGGTTTGAAATTAAGCTCTGCTTTTACTACCCTTAATAGTTTTAGGATCAATAGGCTAAAATTTTTTTAAAAGGGAGGTATCTGTCTCACATTAAGAAATTATTTGAGGAAAACAAAATAAAATACAACTTAAAAAAAAACAAAAAAAAACTGTGGGTGGCCACCCCCAGGACTGGAATACTCAGAAATTTCCATTTAGCTCGGAGCTGGGTTTTTCATCATTCTGCTCATTCCTCCTCACCATTTGTTTTGTTTGCCACGTGTTATTTTTCACTCGTCATCTGTGGTGAGAAGGGTAATGAGGGAATGTGCAACCATAAAGATGATGTTGCTTCCAACAAAGCACCTCTGAGACTGATTCATGACTTGGTACCAGCTTCCCTTGGATGCACCACTGCACCAAGTTATACTGAGTGTATATTTCACAAAAATGATAAAACAGTTTCAAATGTTTTACCCCCAACATGATAATTAAACTACTTGCTCTGACTTCTATGATCATCAGCAAACTTTCATAATTATCAGTAGCCATGATTTAATATAATAAAAATCTCAGATTATTTCAACTGAACACACCAAATGTGACAAAGAAGCAAAACACTCCCATGGCAGAAGAAGAGTTTCTTAAACATGGTACATTCCTTCTTCTTAATGATTACTCCTTACTTCTGATTAAGTAAGCCTCTTAATCAGAAGCTTAGTCAGCTTTAGATGTACTTTATATCTGAGATAGAGTAGATTCTTTACATTAATGAGGTAAAATTCACCTTATGTTTTCTTTAACCAGTCAGAATAGCCCAATGTATTACTAATAATAGAAGATATGAAGTGACAGGAAAAAAGTTTGGGTAATGTTTTCCTTTTTGAACCATTATCGAGAGATGCTTCAAGTGCCCACAGAAAGATCTACGAATCCAACAATCAAAAGATTACAATTTAGCTTTATATTTATAAAATACTGCATTACTTCAGACCAAGTTGCTAGTTTAGACCAGTTCAGACTTAGGGGAAAAAAAAAAGAAAGGCGCCACCCTTTGAGCTGCAGCATCAATGTCTGCACTGCATGAATGACTACTTGGGAGCCTCGCGATCCAGTTACCCATGAGATTAGACTCATTTCTGTTCTGACCTTCAGGTCATCTACTGAACAGATACTATCACTATAGCAGTCCCTTGGCATCTTCGGGGCATTGGCTGCAGAAGCCTACCACAGACAGCCAAAATTAGAGGATGCTCCAGGCCCTTACGTAAACTGGCACAGGATCTGCACACAACCTACACACATCCTGCTGTACACTTTGAATATCTCTATACTACCTGCAATACCTAATAAAACGTAGTACATGCTATGGAAACAGGTGCCAGTGCTGCAAATTCAAATTCTGCTTTTTGGAACTTTCTGCAATTTTTTCCCAGTTGAATCCACAGATGCAGAAATCACAGATACACAGGGTCAACTGTATGTAGAATACAGGTATTATCTGATGCCAGGCAGCTATACTGGACCGTGGTGAAGAATGGAAAGAAACTAAGCCCTTGCTCTCAAGTCTAGCTGAAGAAACAGACTACACACAAGTATAAACTTAACAAATAAGATAATTTCAGGTAGTGAAAAGTCTTGCAAAGACAGTAAAATGGGGCTGTATTAGTCTGTGACTTGGTGGTGAAAAGAAAGCTTCATTAGATGGGATAATCAAGAAAGGCTTGTCTCAGGTGGCGATATCTGAGCTGGACTTTGAATAAGGTAAGGTCATGCAACAGTCTGGGAGAACAATGTTTCAGGTAGGTGAAATAGCAAAAGTGAAAGAAAGAGTTTGGGGTGTTTGACAGAAAGAAGGAGGGCGAGCATGGCCAGAACACAGTGACTAAGGGGGAGAATGAGAAATGAGGCAGAGGCCTGGTTATATAGGGCCTCAGAAGTCTTGGCAGTGTCTGAATTTGATTCTAGGAATAGTAGAAAGCCATTAAAGGGCTGACACAAGAGTGATATTACCTGATTTAAGTTTTTTAAACAATCTCTGGTGGCTCTGTAGCACATGGACTGCAACAGAAAGATCAACAGAACTGATCAATGGAAAGAGTCCATGCAAGAGAAGCTAAAGGTTTGGGCAAGGGTGGTGAAGGGGACCAAAATGAATGGTCAGATTCAGAGTATGTTCAGAGGTTAAATGACATGACTTGCTGAAGAACTAAATGTGGTTGCTGGGTAGTGAGGGCAAAACCGGGAAACCAAGGATTGCTCCTATGTGGGGACTTGAGCAACCAGAGGGACTGTGCAGCTGTTAGCTGATGTGAGGGTACTAGGGGAGGAGCAGATTTGGAGCAGGGAGTGGAGGCAATCAAAGTTCTGTTTTGGGCCTGTCTGGTACTGGAAATCTACTAGTGATATAAGCTGGGGTATAGACTGCATACAGATGGGATATAAAGCCCATAGGACAGGATGAGATTACTTGGAGAAAAACTACAGCTAGAGCCCTGGGACACACCAATACTGGTCAAGTGAGAAGAGGAAGAGGAGCCAGCAGAAGAGCTGAGAAGGAGCACGCAGAATGGCAGGAGGATATTCAGGAGAGTGTGGGGTACAGAAACTGAGAGAAGAAAGTTCTGATAAGGAAGGAGTATGATAAATGCTGCTGAAGTCTGAACACGATAAAGAAAGAAGGGACTTTCCTGGCAGTCCAGTCAGTGATTAAGAGTCTGTGCTTCCACTGCAGCGGATGCAGGTTCAGTACCTGGTCAGGGAACTAAGATCCCGCATGCCATGAGCCACGGCCAAACAAACAAACAAAAAAAACAAAGATAAGAAAAGCAAACTCACAACTGGATTTAAAGCTAGAAGTATTAATAAAGAAAAAAGGTAGGAATATATGTTATAAAAAAAGGCATTTGATCGGGATCAAGCTATCACTTTTAGAGCTAAAAAAACAAAAGGAGCCATCTCAGCAAAACCCCTGAGGTTATGTTGATTTACCGTGATTAGCACATTTTGACTGTCCCTCTCAAAGGGAGAGCAGGGAAGCAATGACCCAGGAGGGTGTCCGTCTGGAGTTTTCCATTCTTATTTCCTGGAGAGGGGAGGCCCCTGTGGCACCACTCTCCCAATGTGGTGGAATTCAGAATTTATATGGAAAGAGGAACAGCTCAGCTCAAAAGAGACTACAGGTCTCTTGCCCCATTTGACTGTGATTCATCAAAGTTCTGATAGTCTCCTGTCCAAACCAATTCCAGCTAAAAGTTTCTTTAACCCAAGGGCCCAACTGAAAGGAAAAAACTGTCAACAGGAGAAGACCATACCCATGCCCTCCGCTGGGGGCATTCTTCTGGCCTACATTTTCTTTCCCAAGGTTGCTACTGTTTCACTATCAGACTCCAGCCTGCATCTTACTCTGATGGTGGATCACTGAGGACAAAACTAAAAAAAGTGATGTGAGGCCTGGCCACACCTGTGCCACCTGTCTCTCCTCCTCACTCCCCGCCCCTTACCTGGGTCATTTTGTCCACAGAGACTGGAATTCCATCGATAGTGAGAGGCGGCAGCTCCGAGTTAACCTCCTGTGGCGCAGGGGCGTGCTCTGCCAGGGCGGACTCCAGGTCTTCCAGGATCATGCTCTTGTACTTACGCACCTGCAGGGAATTAAGGGCAGAAGTAAACAAGATGCCCAACAACCAGGGAGGATTGGTGCCAAGCAACCAGAGAGTGGGTAGGGCTGGACTCCCTCAGCCATGCAGAGCCCTAAGAACAAACATGTCTACAACTAGTGGATAAAAATACCCACTGGCCCCAAAGACATCACATCGTACAGAATTAAATGAAAAGATGATGAAATTACAGGTAACAATGGGAGAAAGAAGCCAGAGGAAAGAGTTTTCTAGAAATACAGCTCCTCAGTTAAAATCACATTTTCTCAGTAAATGCTGGCCCCATTACCTGTTCCAGATCTAACAGGAATGGTATTCATATTTTGCATTTCCCAGGCCATTTGATAAAACCCAGTTGTGGCAGTTAATTACCAAAACCATTTCCAAGATCACTGAGGATTTATGTCTCTAAAACTCTAAGCACCCTCTTTGAAACTTTCCTATGCTGCTCTTTTCCTAAAAACCTAGACTACCAACAGGAGATCAACTATACAAGAGAATGAACTAAAAGGCATCAGAGAAAAAAAACAAGAAGTGTATACTGGGTGTCACAGTGTAGCTGGGTGTGACAGGCGCCACTATCAGTAAGGCCCGGGGCCAGAGACAGCACCACTGGTCAAGTACTCTTCCTTTCCCTCAGGGACTCCCTGGTGATAGAGGTGAACTTTAAACCCATGAGGCCTCTGTAACTCTGACAAGGCCATGTCTGAGCCAGATACTGTTGCTCTGACTCCATTCCTTCCACTATCAGTGAAAGTCTCTCAAAAAACAGAACTTAACAGCAGCAAGTTGCACATGTACACATTATTCTATAGAATGTAGAGAATACAACGGATGCTACCACTAGCAATGATGGGTTCACTTAGTTACAAGAAATACACCAGGGGGGATGAGGATACTTTAGGGATAATAAGGGAAGCCATGGAGTTATAAAAATGTAACAAGATAGGACAGAAAATTAACTTGCTTTCAGGGCTCAGGCCATCATCATAGAAAAAAAGGTAAGAAAATATGAAGTTTACCCAGAAGTTATAACAATGTTATAGTCCTGGACTGAACTCTTAGTCACCATATACTTCCTTATAAATATCTCATTATAAAGATTAGAAGAGAAAAATCCCCATACTCCACCTCAAACATATGGAAAAATAAAAATTATTGGCTATGATGTATAACTTTTATAGAAATTTCCAACAGATCAACAATAAAGGTGATGAAAGAAAAACAGTACAAAGTTATCATTATTACTCTAGAAATTCAGTTTTATCCTGGTTTCTAAAGAGAAAGTTGCAAAAATTATTGCCAATGTATTTGCTGTAAATAGCTGTGTTGCCATGACATCTTTAAAGATATATATTTTCTGATTTCTAGGTTTCTACATCATAAGTAGAGTTTTTACACTACCAACCCACAGGAAAACTGAGTAAGCCTAGGTTATAGTCTTTGAACTTTAATGTATCAGGTTAAACCATTATATCAGTATATATGCCCATAGTAAGAGTAAATGAAAATAGTATAAAAAACTTCCATTGTGCAGAAACATCTGGCATTCAAAGACAGAAAATTAGCTTATTACTTTATTACATTAATAGCTAGTTTAAACAATTTCAGCCATTTTTATGGGTCAGTAGAATTCCAGAAATTCAGATCCAGGCATTTTGCTGAACTTATCCATTATATCTTGATTTAAAAAAAAAAAAATGCTGGGAGAACATCCTTCAGAGTAATTTACAACTTCAGGTTGTGACCACAGTATTTCTAAGTTTGCTTAGTAAAGTTAACTAACTTTCCCAGAGTTATAAAGCTAGCACTTCAATTCTATCTAATTTATAAATCCTGAGATAATCCCTCCCCTACCCCCCACCATTTACCACTCCTCTGAAACTCGGATACTTCTTAAAATCGCTATAGACAAAGTGGTATGGGACAGAGCAGTCATGGCCTGCACATCTGTGAAGATGGTTGTTATCCCTAGAGGCACAACTACAACCCCCAGGCCTTGTCAATCAGCAAACCACTTGGCACCATTTCAGAAAGGAAGGTGAACCTGGTCTGTAGGCTGATAACTTCCCCAGTGATCTTTCTGGTGAGACCAAAAAGCACCAGCATCAAACTTGTCACAGCTGAGAAAAAGTCTCAGAGACAACAGCAGAGCTCTTTTTACAGAAATGCAGCATTACCCATGCTCCTGATGGTAGGGAAGACAATATATTACATGCAACCATACAGACAATGATGACTCTGAAACAGGAAGTAATTCGGAATTGGACTCTGAATGTGAAAAAGTTTTAGGAATAGCTAAAAAACAATTTCAGAAATAGGAAATTTGTTTCACTTACATTTTCCTTTTTACATATTTACAAAAGCAGTATGATCAAAAGCTGTCTCTAAGTAAGCCTGAAAAAGCTCTTTCAATAAGTATAAAATAAAAATTCTAAGTGATATAAGCGCTGTGTCAAAGTTTATCAGTGTTTTTTCTTTCTTTGTGGCACATAAATAATGGTGCATCTATAACTCATGGTATCACAGATATGATGAAATACAGGTTTGTTTCAGAAACTTCCACTTTCTATTCCAAAATCCACAGGTAAAGCCTTTGTCATTTCATACCAACATGTCACTGCCAACTAACTGGTTTCACAATTTAAAAACCACTTAAAAACAAATTCAGTTCATCTGCCTACCACGCTCTCCTCCTCCAATTCATTCTCTATACTGCTGCCATTTAAAATTTCTGAAAGATTGACATAATCAAATTCCATTTATTGAATACTCGCTATGTGTCAAGCACTGCAAACATTATTCAGTTAATTCTCACATAGTTTTATAAAGGAACTATCATTATATACATTTTGCAGATAAGAAAACTCGGGCTTAAGTAACATTCCCAAATCATATAGGAATATAGCAGAAAGTCAAATTAATTTTTAAGTAGCTCCAAAGCCTATATGTTCAGCCACTTCTGATCATTTTTCTTTTTTCTCAAAAATAGTCCTACAGTGCCCCACTTCTTACAGGACTGCATTTCAACCATTCTGATCATTCCTTGCTTTCCCAATACTCTTGGCCAAGGCCACCAACTACAGCTGTGCATGCTCAGCCCTGTAGATTACGTGAACAAGCACCATCTTGAGTTTCCTGTGTATAAGCCAGCGTCCTACTAGGCAACTTTGCTCACCATCCTTCCTCTTGAGCCGGCCAGCCTCCTCACTAACTTTTGCACACAGCAAGCTCTTTTCTATCTCTGTGGAGAAGGAAGCATTCTTGCCTGGAGAATTCCCACAGACAGAGGAGCCTGGCATGTTTCAGTACACGGGGTCACAGAGAGTTGGACACGACTGAGCGACTAACACACTTTCCATCTCTGGGTCCTTAATTTTGTTTCTAATTTAAATACTATACATTATTCAAGACCCAACTCAATTCCCACTTTCTCTGAGAAAACTTCCCAAGTGTTCTTGCCCTAATTCTTTTACTCTTTTAAATGCCAACAGACTCAAATAATCATGTGTCACTTATGTTGTTCTATGTTGCACACAATTAGTGTTATGACATCACTGAGCACAGGAACCAGACAGTTTATTTTTTCGACATACATTATGAAACGTTTCACATATTCAGACATGTACAGATAATACATTAACAAACATTCTCATAATTACCAGCGACAAAGTGTTTAGGGTATTTATAGTAGACTTTAGAGTTCTGGGCACAGAATGAGCTTGTTGAGGATTTAGGAATTGGTTGCTACAACCATAAGGTCAATGAACCTTTAGTGAGGTTGCAAAAATAATCCCAGATAAAATATAAAAATCCTTCTGTATACTTGCTTTTCTGGATAAAAGAAAAGTCTTCAGGAAGGTCTCCAAAAAGATTTTTTAAATTATTTTTTACCTATGAGCTCCTCTGTGATTAAAAATATACTGTCATCTGACGAAGATAACAAAGAGATGCCCAAGAGCAGGGCTGCCTTCAGATCAGGGATCCTGAAGCACACCTGGCACAGAGCCAGCCACAGACTGTTGAATCTGCTGGCTTCATCCTCTTCTCTCTCCAGACCCAATGTCAGCCTCTTTCCTCTCCTGCCTCAGTCCAGATTTTTCCCCCAACCCCCTTGGATCCCTTGTTTTGAACCTTGAAACCTCAAAAGACCTGGATGGAATTCTTACCTCATACTTTATATCTAACAGTCTTAGCCATTTGTTGTATAACTTAATAAACAAGCAACACGGTTTTACTTTATTACTTTTTTATGTTATTATTATTGCCTGTGTCATGTGGCATATGGGATCTTAGTTCCCCAACCAAGGATCTAACCCACGCCTTCTGCATTGGGAGCTCGGATTCTTAACCACTGGACCATCAGGGAAGTCCCTTACTTTATTACTTTTTAAATATGCTTCCACATTTCAAGTAACCTGAAGCCATCTTTAAAAAACTTATCTAAATAAGTGAATGACTTAGAACAAGAAATCATGACCAACTCCAGAGTCCACTAATCTACTGGGAAGGTGGAATTAAATGAAGGCAGAAGGATGATTTCAAGGAAGCTGTGACAAACCCTGAGCTATGTCTTGCTTCTATGACTGTGATTCCTAGGCCTATTCCTATAAAGCTCATTTCAATTCCTTTCATGCCAGTTCTTCATAAAGACTACATATAGGAGAAAGATAATAAACTTTAATTTCTATTTCTCCCCAGTGAGGTTGCTATTATCTTTATTTCACACATGAGGACACTGAGCCACATAAAGGAAAAATCAGTGTGGGAAATCATTCACAAAATCAAAGCTTAAACACAGTTTTCACCAAAGCAAAGTTTTTAGCTATGTACATTAACACCAATCTATGTGTATGATTCAATTAACCTGTCTAAAACTTACATTCCAATTGTGGGCAAGGAAGTAATATGGACAGAACACAATATGGAGAAATAAATGAAAAGCTGGAAAACATAAGAAAAGCTTCAACACCACCTATTGGAGGGCCCAGTAAATTTTTCAATTCTCCTTTGACAAATTTGTAAAAAACTGATAATCTTGAGTCTGAAATCCATATTCCAAAGATGAACAGCCCTATGGAATTTTAATCTTCCAGAGTTCCTAGCAGCCTCCAGAAAAAAGAGCAAGAAGAAAGGTTAATGATGGCTTCAGGCAGGAGGACAAAATGCAAATACCAGAGTTTTAATATTATTTAATGAGATAATACATGAAAAGTGCTTATAACTTATAACCTAGAACACAGCATTCAATAAATGTTAGACATTGTTATAAAATCCAAATAATTTCTTTTACTGTTACTAATATGAGATTATGCAGAATACACTGTATAACTGGTTATAGTGAATATGAGCTCTGATTCTTTAATACCACCCTGTATACAAGTATATATATAAGATTAAGGAATATTCTATACTTTGAAGGTTTAACGGAAGTCACTCGAAATAATCAGGAGTATAGTATCCATTTGAGAGATATGGTTTAATTACTTTTTCAATTTTGTGTTTATTGTCTTACTGGTTTGGATATATTTTGGTTATTTTCTTATTAAATTATCCACTTGGTTGAGGTCTTTAATTTAAAAGAATAGAATTAATGCATAGAATTTCCTTACAATGTTCAATCTATTTTTTATCTTCAACTATAATTCATATCACTTCTAAGACTGTATATTTGTTTTCTTCATCCTTTTTCTCAATTAGTATGCTAGTTTATCTATTTCATTAGATTTTTCATAGTATCATTTCTTGAATGTAACAATTCTCTTTCTGTTTACAAAATCATTAATTTCTTCTACATGTTTACTTACTGTATATCTTTCTCAGATGAAATTTCTTTCTTTCTCATATATATATAGAAAAAAAAATCAAGGCAATAAACATCCTTTTAAGCATCAGTTTAGATCATAATTTTTAAGGCTATTTAAAATTTGTTTTTAAATAGTTTGCAGATTAAGTTGTTTTCTCAGGTGTTTTTGTATACATATAAGTGATTTGCTTTGCTGCATAGCAGAAACTAACCAAGCATTGTAAAACAACTACAATAAAAAGTATTTTTAAATTTCCATGTGGCTGAAAATGTCAATCTTTTTTATATTAATTTCTAAATTTTCTATTCTTTTTTTTTTTAATTTTCTATTCTTTAATATAAAATATGACCTGTGTAATTTTCTACCTTTTACAATTTATTAAGATTTTCTTTGGGACCTAATAAAAACACATAGTCAATTCTTATAATCCATTCATGTAATTTTTCAAATATGGTATATTCTCCCTTAGTATGGTATCAATGTTAATATATCTACCTTTTATATTAACCTTATTAATTCTATTCTTCAGATCTCTATATTCTTATTTATATTTTTCTTCCTTGAGTGACAAAAATATTTCAGACTCCTACTACCACTGTGGTTTCTATTTTTTTTAATCTCATTTCTAATTTTTGATCTATATTCTTTAATGTTGAGACATAAAAGGCTTGTTATAAATTTATACTGCTTATCAATACTAAAAGACCTGTGGTCCTCAGTTAATATTCATTTGTCTTGAGAATTTGGCTTTGTCTCCTATTAATGCTTCCCTGGTAGCTCAGAGGTTAAAGCATCTGCCTCCAATGTGGGAGACCCAGGTTCGATCCCTGGGCTGGGAAGATCCCCTGGAGAAGGAAATGGCAACCCACTCCAGTATTCTTGCCTGGAGAATCCCATGGACAGAGGAGCCTGGTAGGCCACAATCCACGGGGTCGCAAAGAGTTGGACACGACTGAGCGACTTCACTTCACTTCACTTCATATTAATGGTGTGATCCATGATTATTTTTGTAGGGATTTGTCTTACACTTGCTTTGCTTATTGCTTTGCTTTTAAAATTTTAACAGCTTTATTGAAATATAATTCATATGCCATATATATTAGCTTCCTATGGTTGCCACAAAGTATTACCAACTTGGCGGCCTCTATCAATAGAAATTCATTCTCCTAGTTTCATAGGCCCAAGTTGTTGGCAGGGCTGGATGTTCTGGAAGCTCTAGGGGATAATCCATTTTCTCATCCTGCCTAGCTGCTGTTGAACACATACTGCTTTGCTTCTGACCCGTTCCTTGCACCCAACCTCTTGCTTCCACTGACACATCTCCACCTTCTATATCAATCTCCTTTTGGCTCCCTCTTACATAAAGACACTGTGACTAGATTTAGGGCCTACCTGGATAATCCAGAGTGATGTCCTCATCTCAAAAATCTTTAACTTAACCACACCTGCAAAATCCTTTATGCCATATAAAGATTTGGATCTGTGTATCTTTGGGGGCCATTCATTATTCAGCCTATCATACATACCATACAATTCACCCATTTGAAGTGTACAATCTACTATTTTAAATATTTGTAGGGTCACATAAGCATCATCATAATCTATCTTCCCTGAAAGAAACTCCAAACCCACTAGCTGTCACTTTCCATTCCTCCATCCCTACCTTTCAAATCTGGCAACCACTAACCTACTTTCTGTCTCTACCGATTTGACTACTCCAGATACCGCCCATAAGTGAAATCACACAATATGTGGCCTTTTATGAATGGATTCTTTCACTCAGCACAATGCTTTCAAGGTTTGTCCATGTTGTAACATTTATAAGCACTTCATTCCTTTTCAATGCTGAGTAATACTACACTGGATAGATAATACAACTTTTTAAATCCATTCATCAGCAGATGAACATTTGGGTTATTTCCACTTTGTGGCTATTATAAATAATGCCTACTATGAACATTGTGCATTTGTTTTCATATATGTAAGTTTTGTTGCTATGAACATTGTGTGTATAAGCTTTATTCTCAGTTCTCTTGGATAAATGTAGGAATAGAATTGTTGGGTCATATAGTAACTGTTCTTTTGATATTTTGAGAAATTACCAAATTGTTTTTCAAATCAGCTGCATCATTTTACATCTCTAACTGCAATGTATGTGGGTTCCAATTTCTCCACATCCCCATCAACATTTATTATTGTCCATCTTTTAAATTATATTCATTGTAGTGGGCATGAAGTATCTCTTTGTAGTTCTGATTTTCATTTCCCTAATGATTAATGGTTACTTATCAAGTGCTCATTTGTTTGCTGGTCATTTCTATATTTTCTTTGGAAAAATATTTATTCAGATTCTTTGCCATTTTAAATTTTGTTAATCGTCTTTTTTTTTTTTGGCCACGTTGTATGGCTTGCTGGGTCTTCATTCCCTGACCAGAGACTGAACCTATGCCTGCTGCAGAAGCACTAAGTCCCCTCCACTGAAAACCAGGGCATTCCTGGGTTAACTGTCTTGTCACTGCTGAGTTGTAAGGGTTACTTATATATTCTGAGTACAAATTTGTATCAGATATGTTTTGCCAATATTTTTTTCTTTCCCATTCTGTAGACTGTTTTCTCACTTTCTTGATGGCATCATTTGCAGCTACTTTGAACACTTGTGAGTCACTGTAAGTATGTCATATAAATTGAACAGAACTGGGTTTTGATTTGGATTGTTTCTGCTCCAATCTAAAATAAAATCTTTAACAATAATATAAATATAATATTTATATTATAGTTTACAACAAAATTAACTGGTCTCACTTCCATTACTTTGTTAGTCCGGTATCATTTTGAACTAGAAAGCCATCTACCACACTCCTCTCAGGAAAGGTCTTAATATGCATCCTATTCTAGGGACTCAGGAATCTGAGGAAGAACTCAAAAACAAACTCAAAAATGTTAAGAAAGAATGACAACATCTGTGTATGGGGAAAAAAAATACAATAAACAAAATCTCAACTGATTACTAATTCTGAACATGTGAAGTATCTATGCTCAATATGGGAGAAAATCTAATAAATTCATTTTAAGCTCAGAAATTTTATCCTAGTAAAAATAAAATGCAATTTAATTCTGGACAGATCATTATTCTACTAATGATTCAAAGTTACTTCATCCAAAGAAAGAACAGTTCACATAGTAAAAGTATCCAAGAGTGAAACACTATTTTTATGAAGTTAGCTATAAATAGGGATATAATCAAAATATTCAACTATATTTCAACATTGAAGGATTAAATCAATTATTTGAAGAAATAAAAACAATTTAAAATGTGTAATTCAGATATCAGTGATCAGTAAAATGCTCCCAGATTTGCCTTAGGAAGTTCACATCTTGAGAAAATAGCATTTTGTTTCAGCAATTTTCTTATAAAATCTTGCATTGCTTTCTTAAGGAATTCAACATCATTTTTTTCCATTGCATCTGATGAGGTAAAATAGCTTGTTATGAAAAGGAGAAACAGAAATGATCCATTTTACTTTGATCTGCATAAAGGAGTTTGAAAACCAGTCTGAATTCCCACCTCTGGAAGAAGGGAAGATAAAATAACTATAGTGCTAGACAAAGGATCAAAAGAATGCAAACAACAACTCACAGAAAGCAAAGGGTGTCAGGGAACACACAGTTTTCTTACCACATTCTCCAAAGGAGCTGCACCAAACACTTTAAAGACAGGGTTGGGTTTGGAGGGAGAGATACAAAGGACAATAGCTTGTTGTCCTACTCGAGTAGTATATTCATCTAGTGTGGCTCGAAGTTTCCTGAATCAGAGAACAAAAAGACAGAAATTACGTGACACAGACACAAGATTTCCTTTGACTTGAGACAATTTATTCTAATTTGGTATGTCTTCTTCTACCTGAATTGTGAAAAGGGTGGGTGTGAGGTTTAATATCCTGTTCAGCAGAATATGTACATCCCTTTGTCCTAAAGACCTGTGACTAGCTCACTGACATAAGAGTCTACACCAGGTTTACCTCAGGACACAGCCATGACACAACGTTGAATACAGAGAGTATCATACTTCCTGATCTCAGGACCAAAAGTGTGCTGCTTATAATAATAAAGATTAATGCTGAGATGTCATCCTATAGACTTTACTGTATCATCTCCATGCTTACTGAAGGGGCCTAAAATGAACTGTTTCTGATTTCTTTGACTGATAGGATTACTGTTTATGTCTTGCCCCGATGCTCAGTCACGTCCGACTCTTTTCGATCCTATGGACTATAGCCTGCCAGGCTCCTCAGTCCACGGGATTCTCTCAGCAAGAAAACTGGAGTGGGGTGCCATTTCCTCCTTCAGGCAATCTCCCTGACCCAGGGATAGAAACTGCATCTCTTGCGTCTCCTGCATTAGCAGGCTGATTCTTTACCACTAAGCCACCTGGGAAGCCTGTTTATATCTTACCGATAAAGTACTTCAAAAATGTTGTCAATTCCAGATTTTCATTGGGATATAAACAATAATTCTTAGTCCTGAAGTATTTTACAAATGAGGATGGAGTAAAAGAGCTTTTTCAAATCCATCTGGATTTGATTTGATTCTGGATGAATCAGAAACATTGTCCTTTCCTTCTGGAAATTATGGGAGATTATTTTAAAGTTCTACATCCCATAATTCTTCTGGGAACATAGTCTACCGTGTCAAGGGACTGGTGAGTCATGCCAATTCAAATGAAGCAAAGCCAACAAATCACAAGAAAGTTTTCCATCTTTCTCCAAAAGCACTGTGTCTATGCCCCTTTTAGAAAAGATGGCTCTATAAATAATATATTCAATTCCTCCTGCCTATACTATCATTAAAGATAGTAAGATTTATCATTAAAGGAAAGGAAATTTTTTTGCCTATCTAGTGGTATATAATCTCTGTGCTGAAAACTACCATTAAGTATTTTCTGGATTTTCCCTTCAGTTTCTTATGATCTTATCTTCTTAATATAGACTATATTTTCTAACTTTTGTCCACATATCATTTACAAGTGCTGGCACTCCATTTGGATTCAACATTCCAATAAACATCTTAACAATTTGGATATATAAAATACTACAAGAAGACACTTCTGAAACATTTTATAGACTAAATTTTTTATTATACATGAATGCATGTTGGTCAGCCTGTCAAAATATGAAGTCCTCTATGTACCACAGATGTGCAATCATCTTTCTTTGCAACCTACAAACTCTTCAGAAGAAATAAAAACATGTGGAAGAAGTGGAGGTGAAGTCACTCAGTCATGTCCGACTCTTTGTGACCACATGGACTGTAGCCTATCAGGCTCCTCCATCCATGGGATATTCCAGGCAAGAGAACTGAAATGGATTTCCATTTCCTTCTCCAGGGGATCTTCCCAACCCAGGGATCAAACCCAAGTCTCCCGCATTGCAGGCAGATGCTTTACCATCTGAGCCACCAGGGAGGCCAAGTAAAGGACCACATACCAAACAAGAAATCCAGTGGCATTCCTTGAAGGAATGATAAGAAAATACATTCACTGTCTCCAATTCCTCTCTTCCCATTCTCTCTTGAAGACCCTTCAATCCTTTCATCCTTACTGCTCCTCTGAAAACACTTTTATCAAGTTCAATCATGACCTCCACATTGCTAAATCTAATGGTCAATTTGCATCTTAGTTAACCTGTCAGCACCATCTGATAGTGCTGGTCCTCCTTCTTGAAACAATTTTTGTACTTGGTTTCTTGGACACCATTCTTCTGGTTTCCTCCTGACTCATTGGTCACTTCTTAGACTCTTTGATAATTCCTTTCCTTTCTTTAATCCCTAAGGGGTAAAGTGCTTCAGTCCACACTCATTCCCTGCTGCTGCTGCCAAGTCACTTCAGTCGTGTCTGACTCTGTGCAACCCCATAGATGGCAGCCCACCAGGCTGCTCCGTCCATGGGATTCTCCAGGCAAGAACACTGGAGCGGGCTGCCATTGCCTTCTCCGACACTCACTCCCTAGTCTGCTTCGAATGCTGCCTATGTGCTTATGTCTTCAGCCTTGCTTTCATTCCTGTACCCAGAGTCTATTCTTAACACAGTAGTCTGAGTGATACTTTAAAAACATAAGTCAGATTATATCATTGTTTTAATCAAAAGTCTTCATTGACTTCATGACACTTAGAGTAAGAGTCAAAGCCCTCAGACTGGACCAGAAGATGCCATGGCATGGCTTTCCACTACTATTAATATTAAGAGCACACCTCTTCTCATTCTTTCTCTAGTTGTTCCTCAAACATGTCTAAGACCTGCCTTCCCACTTCAGAACCTTTGCTTTTACTACCCCTCAGCCCCAAAAGTTCTTCCTGTAGATATCAACATGGTTTCCCTTACAATTACTTCAGGTCTCTGTTCAAAGGTTGCCTTAACAAAGATCATTTCTATAAAAAAAGAGAAACTACCATTTTCCTCCTAATCCTCTAACCTTTCTATTTTCCTTATTTTGCTCTGTTTTTTTCACTTTTCATCATCTGATGTATCATATATTTATTTTCTTATTCCCTCCATTAGAATATAAGCTCTTTAGTTTATTTTGTTAGCTGTTAGGTTCCCAAGGCCCAGAACAATACCTGGCACATAGCTGGCATATATTAATAAATTTTCTCTGAATGAAATACTATGATTCTATACATCTGTAAAGAGAAGTTAGGGCTTCCCTGGTGGCTCAATGGTAAAGAATTCATCTTTCAATGCAGGAGACGTGGGTTTGATTCCTGGGTTGGGAAGATACCCTAGAGAAGGAATTGGCAACCTACTCCAGTATTCCTGCCTAAGGAAATCCCATGGACTAAGGAGCCTGGTGGGCTGCAGTTCACGGAGTCACAAAAGAGGCTAATATGACCCAGCAACTAAACAACACACATCTGTTAATCACAGTTCTAGTCTCATTTATTTTTGTTAAGAGTACTTTAAAATCTAATTCTGTTATCAAAGAATTTAACTTGGTATCCCTTGATGAAGGGATTCCCTGGTAGCTCAGCTGGTGAAGAATCTGCCTGCAATGCAGGAAACCGGGTTTGATTTCTGGGGAAGATTCCCTGGAGAAGGGGTAGGCATCCTCTCCAGTATTCTTGGGCTTCCCCGGTGGCTGAGATGGTAAAGAATCCGCCTGCAATGCAAGAGACCCGGGTTTGATCCCAGGTTGGGAAGATCCCCTGGAGGAGGACACGGCAACCCACTCCAGTGTTCTTGCCTGGAGAATCCCCATGGACAGAGGAGCCTGGTGGGCTACAGTCCATGGGGTCGCAAAATCAGACATGACTGAGTGACTAAGCACAGCACAGCACATCCCTTGATGAACCTAATAAGGTATATTCTGTCATCCATACCATAAAGTATTTGAGGAACAGCAACATGGATAAGGAAGCCCTCACCTAAGCAAACGTGTTTGCTGTCTCTTCCGGATAGATGGATTAGATTCAAACACATGAGGACGTTTCCGTTTCTTTCCTGTTGCCACAGCAGCAGCAGCTGCCATTCCCACAGGACCTGAAACAATAACATATGTGCTGAGACCAGACAGAGTCTGTTAACTGCACCACGCAGAAAACAATTAGATGTACAAAAAAGGAGCATTTATTTCCTAGTATGTTATCAATAAGTATAGAATATTACTGATACCATCAATATACTTCACTGTTCAACATGGATCATATTTTAATTTACCATTAAAACTTACAATGAATCTTTTAAAAAAGTTAATGACTTACACCTCCCCACCACATACTAGTTTGAATTTTATATAATATTTTTTGTTTTGTTTTATTAGCATATCCCTACTTTTAAGGCAATAGTCTCAAAGGTGCTAGATGAAATAGCACCATTAAGAAGAAGAGCCTGCTAAGACAAAAAAAGTTACAGATTTCAAATTTCATTTCCATTCCTGTGCCCCTCTTTCCGTTACAAGGCACTGACAAGTTAGAAAGTCGGAGATAATCACTCATATTTGGAACCCCAACCCTACCACCACCACCACATATAAGAGGAATATCTAGAAGAATACCATCTTATTTCCACTTACTAAAAGTGGAAAATTTTTTCTTGTATATCTGAGAATTATGCCCTAAATGGAACTGTTAACCACAAGGTCATGTTGATGAAAGCATCCCGGAAGGAAAGTAATAAAAACTGTCCCACTCTAAGGGGAAAATGTTAATAAAATTTGGTCTGGTTTGCCCTGAAGCTAATGACTAAAACAAACCGTAGGCCTTAAGGAATTATTAGTCTCTGATTCACCCAATCTCAACATATCAGTGGCATTCCTTTTATTTTTTAAAACAGACAATCCATCTTTATTTGTGAACCCCCTAGAAGGTTTAAATGAAAATTAGGTTTAAGTGCTCACATTTATCCTGGCATATATGTTCTATAAATGGCTCAATTACAATAGGCCTCCCTGAAAATCTAGATGAGCCTCTACATGTTATTTAGTTGTATACTCAGTCTGACTTAAATAAAACCTCTCTGAAGAGCCCCCAAATAAGCAAGAAACAAGGTAATGCCTCTTACCTTCCTTTCCACTATAAACAGCTGGTAGACGAAAAAATATTACTGATGCCTGTTTTTCTAACATTTAATTTTTTTAAATTGTGGTAATGATACAACATATGAGATCCACCATCTCAACAAACTTTAAGTGTACAATATAGTGCTGTTAACTATAGACACAATGTTGTATTCTAGAACTATTCATCTTGATTGAAGATGACTGAAACCTTATCTTTAATGGCAACTCCCCACTTCTACACCCCAGCCCCTGGCAAACACCATTCTACTGTATGCAGAGTAGAATAGGAGTTTGAATATGATACTTCATATAAGTAAATCGTGCAGTACCTGTCCTTTTGACCCGTATATGTTACTTAACATAATGCCCTCAAGGTTCATCCATGTTGTCATATATGGTAGGATTTTCTTCTTTTTTTAAACAAAAAGCTAAATAATATTCCATACATACATACCACATTTTCTTTATCTATTCATCCGGAGAAGGGAATGGCAACCCACTCCAATGCTCTTGCCTGGAGAATTCCATGGACAGGGGAGCCTGGCGGGCTACAGTCCATGGGGTCACAAAGAGTCAGACACGACTGAGTAACTAACACACATTCATCTGTCAATGGAAATTTAGATTGTTTCCACATCTTGACTACTATGAATAATGCTTCAGTGAACACAGCGGTGCCAATACCTCCATGAGATCCTGACGTCAATTCTTTTGAATAAACATCCACAGAAAGAACTGGATCATATGGTAATTGTATCTTTAATTTTGGGGGAGGACTTTCATACTGTTTTCCATAGGGGCTGTATCATTTCACATTCCTACCAACAACGTAGAAGGGTTCCTATTTCTCCACATCCATGCCAATACTTATTTTGTGATTTTCTGCTAACAGCCATCTTAACAGGCGTGAGGCAATATCTCACTGTGGTTTTGATTTGCATTTCCCTGATGATTAGTGATGCTGAGCATCTTTTCATATACTTACTGGCCATCTGTGTGCCTTATTTAGGAAGATGTCTACTCAAGTCCTTTGTCCTTTTTTTAATCAGGTTGCCATTATGTTACTGAGTTGTGTGAGTCCAACATTTTTTATTATTATTATAAGTTTCAAATATATATTTTTAAAAACTTTAAAATATATAGCAAAGTTGAAAGAATTTCATAGTGAACATTCACCTATCTACCACCTAGATTCTACTATTAATATTTTACTATATGTATCTATCCACCTTCTTACCCATTCATCAACCCATATTGGGTATTTTTAAATGTATTTCAAAGTAAACTACAGTATGATCCCACTATATACTTCAGTAGAAATATCATTAGCTAGAGCTCAATATTTTTAAGTTTTTTCTTTTGAGATAAAATCTACATATAGCAAAATGTACAAATCATTCAATAAATTTGAAAAATCCACACAACTATGAAACCCAAACCCCTACTAAGATATATAGTATCATCACTACAAATGTTTCTCTCCTGTACCCTCCCATCAGTTCTTCCCTGTACTTCCCACCATAAGGACACAATTCTTATTTGTTTCACCCTACATTAGTTTTGCCTATTCTAGCACGTCAAAATAAATGGAATCATACAGTATATGCTCTTTTGTGCAAGGTTTCTTTCACTTATAATAGTGTTTTTAACATCCATCCATGTTAATATATATATATATATATATATATATATAAATCTCAGTAGACTGTTCCTTTTTATTGCTGAGCAATACTCCAAAGTATGAACAGACCACAGTTTATTCTGAGAGACACTTTGGCAAGTTCCAGTTTTAGGCATCATGAATAAAGCTGCCTAATTAAATTAATTAATGCAAATTAAATAAAAATCCCATTTTTGGTATGGAACTTGAAAAACTGAATTTTATTTATTTATTTTAAATTTTATTTTAGTTCAGTTCAGTCGCTCAGTCCTGTCTGACTCTTTGCGACCCCATGGACTGCAGCATGCCAAGCCTCCCTGTCCATCACCAACTCCCGGAGTTTGCTGAAACTCATGTCCATATTTATATATAAATAAATAATATTATTTGTTCTAAATTTTATTTATTTTTAAATACTTTTTTATATGCAATGTCTATTTTGAAATATTTAACTTAATAAATCCTATCAAGAACAACCTATTCCCTTTTTCCTAGGAAATAAACCCTATTTATTTATTTATCTGGCAGCACCAGGTCTTGGTTGCAGCACATTCGATCCTTGTTGTGGTGACATGCAAACTCTTAGTTGTAGCATGTAGGATCTAGTTCTCTGACCAGAGATCAAATCCGGGTCCCCAGGATTGGGAGGGCAGAGCTTTAGCCTCTGGACCAACAGGGAAGACCTGGTTCTAAATTTTAAATGGAAATGCAAAGAGCTAAAAATAGCCAAAACAATTTCTGAATATTTTAAAAAGGCGGCTGGGGCACTCATCCTACCAAGTACCAATAGTTACTATAAGGCTACAATCCTTTATGACAGTGTAGAACTGACTGAAAAGATAGACAAATAAACCAACATAACTTACTCGAGAGTTCACAAACACCCTGCTGTGTCAAAAGACAAAGGTGGGAAAAGGATGGATGGTTAAAGATCTGGAGTTGGAGTAACTGACTGTCTGAATGCAAAAATAATGAAAGTAGATCCATACATCATACTATACAAGAAAATAAATTCCAGGTAGCTTAAAGGCTTAAATGTAAAACAAAAACAGCAATAAAATAACAATAAACTATGTAACTTCTACAATAAACTACTGGAAAGTATTTACAAACACAGGGTTAAGAAGAATTGCTTAAACAAAACTCCAAAAGTTTAAAACTGCACAATGATATAAATCCAAACCTCTATGAACAAAAAGAAATAATAAAAAATTGGGAAGGGAGTGGACAACTAGGAGAAGATAACTACAATACATATTTACCAAGAAAAGATTAGTGTTAAAAAAAAAAATAACTCTTAAAAAAATTGGAAAAATGGACAAAGGAAAATATGCAAAATAAGAATAGCCAATAAAGTTCTGAGATAACACTCTATCTTATTTTCCTGCACTGGCTGGAACCTCTTGCTCAAACAAGCAAATTAAACCAACACTGAGATACTATTTCATACCCATCATACTGGCAAAAATAAAAACAATTGACAATACCAAATGTGGCGAGCATGAGAAGCAATAGGCACTTGAGTACACTGCTGGTGGGAATGCAAACAAATAGAACTATTTGGAAAGACATTTGGGATACCCAGTAAAGTTGAAAATGTGCCTATCTTTGCCCTCCTGAGTATACCCTCAAGCAGCGTTTTTCAAACTATGAGTAGTTTTTTTGTTTTAATAACGTGGAATAAAGTGAAACATACCAGAACATATCAAAGACTGTGTTACTTGCAGTAGAAGTTCAGTATCACTTCCTGAGAAATTGTTATTTCAGTTATATGTGCATCTTTATTCTAGATCACAATGTATTACTGTGGCACACTGTCAAAAGGAGCTTGAAAATCAAAGGCAAGAGCTCTCACAATATGTACAAGAAAACACACAAAATAATTTCTATTTGTAGCAACTGTAAATAGTAAAAGATTATAGACAACCTAAGTGTTCTCCCAATATATGACACATTCAGATAAAGAATGGATACTAAATAACAGTTAAAATGAAAATTATCTAGCCATATTATCAACATACATAAATCTCAGAAAAATAATACTGAATGAAATAAACACTTTTAGACAAACAATATCAGAGTGATACCATTTATATATAATTTAAAACATACAAGTGAAAGTGAAGGTCACTCAGTCGTGTCTGACTCTGCGACCCCACGGACCATACATTCCATGGAATTCTCAAGGCCAGAATACTGGAGTGGGTAGCCTTTCCCTCCTCCAGGGGAATCTTCCCGACCCAGGGATCGAACCCAGGTCTCCCACATTGCAGGCGGATTCTTTACCAGCTGAGCCACAAGGGAAGCCAAAATATGCAAAAACAATGCTAAATATTGTTTACTGATAGATACACACCAAAAAAATATGAAAGAAATTCAAGAGAATGATGACGACCAAATTCAGAATAGTGGTTACTTCAGCAGAGGGAGAGAATGAAATAGGATTAGAAAAAGAGGATAACCAGCTACCCTTCCCTCTCCATTTAAAGTAAAGCTCATTATATTCCTCAGAGAACGCAGTGCGTTTGAAATTATTTAACTGGTTATAGGTACCCTTCTTCCTATCACTGGTCTGTAAGGCCCTTTAGGAGCAAGTCCTTGCCTGTCTTGTTTCTAGTGTCTACATATACTAATATAAAGTATGTAATAATTCCTCAGTAACTGCTGAATGATTAAATCATTTATATCAGTTGGGCCTCAGTTTCCACATCTGCCACATAAGAGGGTTAGATTAAAATTCTTTGCTAATCTTAACACTATGACAATGCAGCACTGTACTATAGCAAAACTATGTCTCAAAAACACCTTCCTTCCTAGGAAAGAAGTTGACTTGGATTCATTATGTTAGGATGCCCTCTTCTGGGAAGTATAATAATTTCAAAATATATTTCACAAACATTTTATATGTATTTTGCCACTAAATCTTAAATTTTTAAATTCACTATTTCAGAAAAATACAGTGGATAACGACAGCGTAAGTTTATTTTCACTGCAGCTGTCTTCTTTCACTTAAATACAGCATATACTTTTTTTTAAAAATGTAGTCCTTTGGCTATTTCTAATCATTGATTTCCTGTCCATCTTTTCCTAAGTATCTTCAAAATCAGTGTTCCTTATACAATATTAGATCCATCCAGAAAGGGTCTACATGGAGCTTTCCACACAGCATTAAATGTACAGTGTAAGATCATGGCATCCAGTCCCACCACTTCACGGCAAATAGATGGGGAAACAGGGGAAACAGTGGAAACAGTGGCTGACTTAATTTTTCTGGGCTCCAAAATCACTGCAGAAGGTGACTGAAGTCAGGAAATTAAAAGACGCTTACTCCTTGGAAGGAAAGTTATGACCAACCTAGACGGCATATTAAAAAGCAGAGGCATTACTTTGCCAACGGTCTGTCTAGTCAAGGCTATGGTTTTTCCAGTGGTCATGTATGGATGTGAGAGTTGGACTATAAAGAAAGCTGAGCACAGAAGAATTGATGCTTTTGAACTGTGGTGTTGGAGAAGACTCTTGACAGTCCCTTGGACTGCAAGGAGATCCAACCAGTGCATCCTACAGGAGATCAGTCCTGGGTGTTCTTTGGAAGAACTGATGTTGAAGCTAAACTCCAATACTTTGGCCACCTGATGCAAAGAGCTGACTCACTAGAAAAGACCCTGATGCTGGGAAAGATTGAAGGCAGAAGGAGAAGGGGACGACAGAGGATGAGATGTTTGGATGGCATCACTGACTCAATGGACATGGGTTTGAGTGGACTCCAGGAGTTGGTGATGGACAGGGAAGCTTGGCATGCTGCGGTTCATGGAGTCGCAAAGAGTCAGACACGACTGAGTGACTGAACTGAACTGAAACAGTAAAGAGAATGATACAAAATATCACCCAGCTTTAAGTCATTTAGGGGCCCAGAAAATATCAAAACCTTAAACTGGATTAAGATGATCCAGGATTGCTAGTGCCCAGGCACTAGTAGAAGCAAACAAAAATCCTCTCTAGATGACAATAATATTATTCTAGATCCCAAATTATTCTAATAATCTTCTAAACACACACATATCCAGCATTCAACCAAACAGGACCAGAACATGAAGAGAAAAACCAACATAAAGCCAGCTGGATATAAGAGGGAAAATTAATATTAAGTATGTATGAAACAAAAGTAATAGCACAAGTATAACTTCTAAACTAACAAGAAAAAAATGAAAAAATAAAAAATAAAAAAACTTTGCAATCACTCCAAAAAAAAAAAATCAAAAGGAAAGTAAACAGGACAAGCAGGACAATGAGAAAGCATATAGTAAATATGATAAATTTAAACCACAGTGTATCAGTGATTGTATGTGTGATGTATCAGCAATGTATCAGTGATGTATCAGTGATTACATTTACTGTAAATGGACTAAATGAGTTAAAAGTAGGTCTTCCTTGGTGGCTAAGATGGTAAAGAATCTTCCTCCAATGCAAGAGACCCAGGTTGGATCCCTGGGTGGGGGAGATCCCCTGGAGAAGGAAATGAAAACCCACTCTAGTATTCTCGCTGGGAAATCCCATGGACAGAGGAGCCTGATGGGCTACAGTCCAAGGGGTCGCAAAGAGTCGAATATGACTGAGCCGTTTAGTTAGAAGTAAAGAGTACTGGAATGGATGAAAAAGCAAAACCAAAGTTCATGTCACTAACAGTATATGCAACTAGAACCTAAGTCTCAGTGTAATTCAGGTACAAGTTGAAAATGCAAAGCTTTAAAAAAAAATCATGAAGATACGATATGAAGATATCTGAGTGCCTGTATCCTTGGCTCTTTCAGATAAGCACAGTACCAGAGTTAAGCCAAAAATGAAGATATTCCAATCCAAACATTACCTGCAGCAGCCAGATGGGCTGTTACCTCATCAGCCGCTGTGGAGTTAAGTATGTCTGAATCATCATATGAGGTGTCCTCAGGAGAAGAAGGTGAGTCTTCATCAGCACTCAGCATACTGTGTTCGGTGTAGGTGGCCACATGGACCTGCTGAACTTGTTGGGCCACTGCATGAGCTTCTATGGTAGCCATGTGTTCAGTTTGGGTCACTCCGTGCTCCTCCATGAAGATCCACTATTGGAAAAAAAGGTAAAGAACAGGATTCAGCGTGTAATACAGGTCAATGCTTAAACTAAGAAATACTTTCCTCAAGGGAAGAGGAACTTCAACAAGCCTTTCATTTTACTATATACCTCACCACATCAAGTCATAGGAAATGGGCAGCATCATTACCGTATGACATAAACATGGTAGAATATTTTTCTTGCATGAAACTATTCTGATGGAAATCCACTGTGCTAGTTTTATATTTAAAGTCACAAAACAATAATATCTTTGGTATTATCCATAATGATAAAAAAGATATTTAAAAGGTCCTGGTGACTTGCATTTGACACTGTGGACATAAAAATGTAAGTAAAATACTTAAACAGCTCCTTTGTATTTCAAACACATATAGGAGTTAAACATTTTTTTTTTTACCAAACTGTGATTATTCAAATTGGTTTTTCTGCTTATAAAACTGTGTTTCTTATATACCCTGAAATGACACAGTAACAGGACTAAGGTTTGCTCTCCTACAGACAGCACTTACGCTGTTCCCTCTTTCCCCTGCCCTAACGTACAGAGAAGTACACTATCCTTAACAATTTTTTGAAGCATACATACATATGTATGATTTAAAATAAAAATAGGTTCACAATACATGTATTATTCTGTGACAAGATATCTGGACATTTTGACATGTCAAAATATACAGATCCACAGACCTTTCTATATAGCTGAAGAATACTTCACTGTATTGATGTGCCATAATTATGCAATCAATCACCTACTGATATATAGGAAAGTGAAAGCATTAGTTACTCAGTTGTATCTGGCTCTTGGCGACCCCATGGACTGTAGCCCGCCAGGCTCCTCTGTCCATGGGATTCTCCAGGCATGAACACTGGAGTGGATTGCCATTTCCTTCTCCAGGGGATCTTCCTGACTCAGGGATCGAGTCCAGGTCTCCCAGGCACATTCTTTACTGTCTGAGCCACCTGGGAAGCAGGTATATATAGCAGATATATAGGTAGGCAGCTTCCATATTTTTGCTACTATAAACATCAGTGAAGTGAACATCCTTTTATATCAAACTATGCATATCAGTTTCTCAAAAAACTTTTAGAAGAATTACCATATGATCCAGCATTTCCACACTTATGGGAAAGTACTATATAAGCTGGGAGAAATGAAAGGAGGGTCTGAAAGGGCTTTTTGTACACTGATGTTCACAGCAGCATTATTCACAATGGCCAAAAGGTGGAAGCAACTAACTATCCACCAACAGATGAATGGGTAACAAAATGTGGACAGACCTCCAATGAAAAATAAATTTATAAAACTAATTAAAAAATAAAATGAATTTGAACCTTAAAAAACAGTGGACACACAAACAATGGAATGTTAAGTCTTAAAAAGGGAGAAATGCAAATTATGAATAGAGGGGATCTTTCTCAACTTGATAAAAAAAAAATCTACAGCTAACATCATACTTAATGGTGAGAAACTAAATAGAATTTTGAAGATTTGAGATACCCCCAGATTCATACATATCTAAAAATGCAATTTAATGCACCATTTAAGTCACGCAATTAAACATAATATATGAAAGGAAGATACCATTAAAATACCATTTTTCTATCCATTTCACTGTTCTAGTCTGAGACAAACTGCCTAGGGCATTTTAGAATTCTGGGTACTCCAAAATTGTTTTTAAATGATTTGGGATTAGATGGCATCTAAATCCTTTTGAAAAGGATTTGTATGCTATGCACTTGGCATAATGGATTTCAGTTCTTTTCTCCAGAACAGCAGTTCACAGAATAAATCAATAGGGATGTCTGTTTCACAGGCTTGTCACTCCTACCCAGAGCCTCATCTCTTTCTAGGTCTTTCCCTACACCATCCTTCAGCCTCACTAACCTGTCTGCTGACACTCTGTAAAAAGCAAAGGCAAGGCCATTTCAGACTTCTTTGAACCAGAGTGGGATACTTGTAAAGGATGCTTTAAATGGTTTCATAATTTAGTAAGCAAAACAGGTTGTCTAAAGCCAGATATGACTGGCATACACATACTGCAGGCGATTGTCATCCCCATCCCACTTAAGTCATTTTGAGTGAGGCATTCTAGCTTTCATCCTCAAAAAGTCAGATTCTCTGGAGAGCAGAAAGGATAGGAACTTCTAATAGATAAAAACATTAGATAATATGAAAATTTAAAAATAGCACAGGCTATTACCAGACATTCAGAACTCCTGGACAAGTTACTTAACCTCTAAGCCTCAATTTCAACCTTTTAATTTTTTTTTAAATGATAAAGAAAAGTAGTATCTTGGAGGAAAGTAGTACCTTTCCTCAAAAGGAAGGGGGTGTTAAAGGAGATTTTCCAGATATGGTGAAGAACACATAAAAGCTCAACACTAATTATTATTAGTGCCAGAATTCCTATGTCTTCATGATTCTATCCTTCTTGACACATTACCTGACTAGCCTCTCAAGCACTGGGCCTCAGTTACCTCATCTTTAAGCTATACATTCATCTCTGAGGATACAGCTTTCTTGCTGGGGCTGCTGCTGCTTAGTCGCTTCAGTCGTGTCTGACTCTGTGCGACCCCGTGGACTGCAGCCTGCATGGCTCCTCTGTCCATGGGATTCTCTAGGCAAGAGTACTACAGTGGGTTGCCACACCCTCCTCCAGGGGATCTTCCCAACCCTGGGGTAGAACCAGAATCTCCTGCGTTGCATGCAGATTCTTAACCACTGAGCCACCAGGGAAGCCCCATGGCTTTCTTAATTGCATGCACAAGATTTTGAGTCAAGCATCTAAAAAGACTTTATTATATTAATTTCGCACAAGATTTTGAGTCAAGCATCTAAAAAGACTTTATTATATTAATTTCAGCAACTCAAATACTAGACTCCAAAACATTAACATAAGGAAATTATAGGGAACCAACACCTCTAACATAATTTCATGAGAATGCACAAAACAGAGAATGGACCCTATAGTGATTCCTCTGAATAGATACGAAAAGCAAGATGAAAGGACAGACAACATGTACTTGTGATTCTAAACATCATATCCAAATAAAAAGGCATGTCTATTACCTGGAACCAGTGATGTTCAGCCAGTGAGTTACACTCCATTTTTAAAAAATCATTCCCCCCCAAAATAACACAACTTGGTAGCAATTTTATTAAAGCCTGTTTCTTAGCCTAGGTCATCACGTGCGGTGTAACATATACTTCATCTGAAGGTTCTTCTTTAACATATAATCTATGAGGGATTGGGGAACTTCCCTGTGCAGAAGACATGGGTTCAATCCCTGGGTCAGGAAGATCCCCTGGAGAAGGAAATGGCAACCCATTTCAGTATCTTGCCTGGGAAATCCCATGGACAGAGGAGCTTGGCTGGCTACAGTCCAGGGGGTTGTAAGAGTCAGACAGACTTACTGACTGAGCACACATGCATAAGGGATTGGAGAATGGGAATTTTAGACAGACGAGTTCCTATTTTTGCCACTGTGGACCAGAAGGCATGGGACTAAAGATAATGGAAGAGAACTCAGAAAAACAGATTTTCTGGTCAGAAGCATCCTGTTAGTTGCAGTCAACAGTATGTAAGGAGCTACTGGAATTTGGATGAAACGTCCAAGGGCAGTTAAATTTAGTCTAATTCACACATAATGAGATTAAGTGTAGAGTATTAAAAAAAAAAACACACACACAACAAAGTTGGAAAAGCAGGCTGAGAAATCCAATCAAGGTATAACTAAAAGTAAGAGAAAAAGCCTTAGTCTCATCAATAGAATTATCACATCAAAAGAAAAGCTACTAGAACAGCTTGGGGGAAATTCTCAGAGCAAGACTATGTCCACAGACAAAACCAGGGACAGAAAAGCAGAGAGGTTCAATTTAATTCATAGACATGTCCAGAATCTAAATTCATGACTAGGACAGAAATTTTACTCAACAAAACAGCCTTTCCCAAAAAAGCCTAAAGCCAAGGACAATAATCTGATTCTTGAGGGACACATGGTAATGGATCAAAATTTTACCACAGCAGGAAAAACTTTAAAACAACTGCAACAAGAAAGTCACAGTGAAAATAGAAACAAGGTAAAATGTGGTTTAATTCTGAGTAATAAATGGAGCTCAAGAAAAGAGGAATCCATTTGACCTTCCTAGGAATTTTCTCCTTCAAACAGCCTAAGGGTGTTAATAGGACTTGCAGAGGAAGAAGAAAACACACACACACACACACACACACACACACACACAATCCTCACATCACTGGGGTCTACAAAAAAAAAGAACAAGCCATAGTCATGATGTAGCTTCTTGCTTTCCACTTTCAGACTCCAACTATACTCAAAAAATCCAGCAGATTAAATATAACATAAAGTAGAATGTAAAAGTTATGAACCCTGGCAATGTAAAGGCAAAGGTCAGGCTGAGAGAGGTAAGGAGACAGGAGAAGGTAGAGAGGTTGGGGAATGGCTGGGAGCGTAAATCCTATCTTTATGCAGTGAGGGAACCAGAGCAAGAACAGAGATCTCAGTATCACAATGCAACTCAGAAACAGGGGAAAGGAAGGAAGCAGAGTGAGGTAAAATGCCCCAAGCTTGATAAATCAGGAAAAAGTAGTACAGGTGTATTTTCTAAAGTTATGGAGGTAATACTGTTTGATAATACTATAAACAAAATAGTTAAAACTATAAACAGAAACAGTTAAAGTAACTGTCTCTAAACAGTGGGACTAGGTGCAGGTGAAGAGTGTGGCAAAAGGCCATTGATTTATCATAAAGCCTTCTATTTGAACTTTTATCATAGGAATGTATTACTTTGAAAAATGAACCTTAAAAACAAATAACCACAACATAGCCTTCCAAACTGATCATTTTGAAACAGTAAAAATTAAACATGCTAGAGCAAACCATCACTAGAAAAATCAAGTGCCTTTCTCATGTTCAGATCAAGAGAGCAGCACAGTTCAAGTTTAGAAAAGTCTTACCTTGAGTAAGGCTAACTGCCTAATTTATGACTAGAATCACATAATATTTTTCATTCCAATGTGGATAAAATTTGTAAATATTCATTAGTAACAACCGAAGAGTCCACATACTGCTTTTATACATATGTGAAAAAACAAGCTTTAACATACAACTTCATAATGCCTTCAGGGTGAGTGGACGGTTTTGTGAAACCAATATTATAAGTTCATGGAAGGCAGGGCCTGGGTACTAAGGTCTCTATGAATAGCAGCCATCATAATTTGTTCCCTAATAAATGCTTATGGGTAATTGGTTGCACATTATAATTAGTAAAGCTAGACCCAGGCAATTACAGTTTCCATTAATTCTCCTATAATACTGTGCTAGCCATTCATCTCTTCTCTCAACTTCCAGGCCTTCTATTCTATACCGGTACTGAAATGTAGAGAGCAATTCTGGGCTGCGTCGGCGAAGTTTATTTACCAGCTTCATGTTAGGTTTCACCAAGGAGAGACAACAGGTTAAGATGGGAAGAGGTAGAGAGAAGGGACTGCCTTGCAGTTTTCATTCCTAATCGAGCTGCTCCAATGACCAAGGACAGCCTCATCTCCCAGCTCCAGCTGTGCCCCGCTCTCCCTGTTGGCTGAGCACCAGCTGCGTGACATCCCACTCGGAGGTGAGACTACCAGCTGTGTGGGGGCCCCTCTGAACTCTTAGGTTCTTCTAGTCTGTTCCCCCAGCCCAAGGGGAGCTGGGGTAGCTGCTTCCCATGTTACCTGAATTAACTCAGTGTCTGCTTTTGCTCTTCTAGTCTTCCAATGCCTGTGTAAGCAATTCCAGAATAAAATTCACTGAAATACCTCACATGATTTACAGGTTCTGACTGATACAAAGGGAAGCAAATATGTACCTTTGTGGAAATAACTCAAAAGTGTCATAAGCAGCAAAATTTTATATTGATTTAAGTCAATACAATAAAATGTACTGACATTTTTATACTATCAATTAAGTGATTCGAAGGACATTTTTATAAGGACACCACTATAGTTTGTTTCCATATGCTGATGGAAGCTGAATACAAAATCTTGAGTTTGATTAATCATTAAAAAGAGGCTAAGTTAAGAGTATAAAATGCCTCAGGAAGAGAAAAATGGGACACAGAAGTGAGAGGGGGGTACAGACAGGAAGAGAAGTAGGAGTTATACAAACACACAAACTTTTATCTGTTTATGAGTCTACCTTCTTACCTGCTCTTTTAATAAAGTACTTAATAAGTTTAACATTCCAGCAAACCTCAAAATCAACATCACAATAATAAATAATAAATAATAAATGCCTTTTTATGACATTTATGGAAATAACAGTGACAATCACAAAAAGATCTGTCATTATTCAATAAATATACTGAGTCCAGTGTCTGGACAAACAAAATGTGGTAGGAGTGGCAGCTTTGACCTTTATCTGCCACTCTAATTTCCTGGGCAAACTGACTATACAGATAGATCTATGTATATCTACCGAAAATCAATTAGGTACTAACTATAATTTCCAGTGTGGCTTGCAGAGATTTAGAGTTCTGTTTTCTTATTATACAACTAGGCCCAAAGAATTCAGTCCAAGAGTATGCCAAGGGTAAGCAAAGCGTCCTCTCCATTCCACCCCATTCCTGCTTGAAAGCTCATCCTCTTCATCCATAGCAGAGTGGTTAAGAGTGCTAACTCTGAAGCCAGAGTACTGAGTTCAAATCCTTGCTCTGCCACTCACTATCACCTTAGACAAGCTCCACTTGACTTCTACACCTTAGTTTTACAATCTTTCAGTAGGGGAGATTAATAGAAACTACTTCACAGAATTATTGTAAGGACCAAACGACTTTTTTGGACCAACTTATATAAAAGGGCTTAAAATGGAACATGGTATATAATAAGTGCTAGTTAAGTGTAACCTATTATTTATTACTAGTATTACTATTCCACATAAAGACAGTTTTATAAAGCATAGAAATGTCAAAGCGAAAGTTACAGGATTTATTTTTACATTGGGAGAAAAGGTGCTTATAAATCGCAAATTGGGAGCTTGTGATCTAAACAAAGCTGAAACACTAGAGGGTGCCACAACCAAGGAAAAATGTAAGGAAAGCACAGCGAATTTCAAGCCGTGCTTGAAATTAAAATTCTTCGACTGGAATAAACATCCTTCCCTATTAAATAGGTGAATCTACTCTACCAAATGCTTCAAAATACATCAACTCTTCTATAGGTTCTATACAGTACTGCTTTAGAACCTATAGAAGAGTTGATGTATTGTCCAATAGGAATTTCTGCAATGATGGAAATGTTCTCAATTTACACTGTACAAAATAATAACAGTCACTAACCACATGTGGTTAACTAACCACATGTGCCTACTGACCACATGAAATGTGACAGTTAGTTTTAAACAATTTTAATATAAATAGCTACAAGTGGCTGTGACTACCACAATGAACAGTACAGTTCTTCTACATTCTATTTTTAAGCTTTGAAATGACTTGCTTCTAATCACTGTTAAAGAAATTTCTAATGAAGTAGGTTCATACAATATTTCAAGCAAATCCATCCCTTGTGATAATTCAACGCTGCAAAGACTGTCTGCGTTGCTCCCCCACCCTAAAGGTGTTCACAATCAAAAGCAAAGCTTTCTTTTACTCATTATAGAAATTTTGCCTACCCCATTCCCTGACTGTATTTCTTGGACCCTGGGTTAAAAGAGCTTAAAAAAATAAGTACAAATTGATAACATTAACTTAGAAGGCTTTTTGCCTTTAAAAAAACCTTTTCCAGGACTTCCCTAGAGGTCTGGTGGTTAAGACCCTGTGCTTCCACACAGGTTCGAACCCTGGTCAGGGAACTAAGATCCCACAGGCTGCTCCCAAAAAGACATTTTTTTTAATAAATAAAAACATTTTCCTTATAAAAGAAAAAATCATATTCTAGTGATAATCATCACCAAAGGCTAAGGGAGCACTAGAAGAGAGGACTACAAGGACACTGAGCAGGAATCGTGAAGGGGGTGAGTCTTCAGCCAGGAGTCTGTCAGGCGCCAGAGCAAAAGAAGGGGGCTACAGGCTGAGGCAACGGCTTGTGAAGGCACGTGGCACAGCAAGCGGACCGGAGTGAATACCCAGACAGCAGACTCAGGAGGAGTCGGGGGACCAAAGGCACATAGCTTTCAGCTGCCTTCACACCAGATTCTTTCTTTACACTGTAATTTAACCTGCTGAAAAAAAAAATGATTCTAAGGATAATGCTGACCCACCTGTCAAAGAGGAAAGTCGTCTCCACATTACAGCTTACAACCCTGTGTCTGTCACAGTGACCTGAGTGAGAAGGTACCTAATGAATGTTGATGACAATGATAAAAAGGATTAGAAAATGCATTCTCAAATATTCAGATGCTTATCAACAGCTACAAATATCAATTAAAAGGAAGTGAGTTGCTGAAGCTATCGCTAGATCAGAAACATGGTGGATAGGAAGGAAGCTTAGTATACCCAGGCATTTTCAAATGGGTAAGAATGCAGCTGGCTCTTTTTGCAGAAAAATCATGTGTCCACAGCTGCTCCCCAAATTGCCAAAAAATCAAATAAGTAGCTGTCATGTGACAGCAGGATTAGAGGCTGCCTCAATTTCCATTAAGGAGAAATAATATGAATTGCCCCAAGTCCCACCCCTCAGTCTCACCAGCACAAAGGACACTTTTATTCAGATCCTGCTTACTGTGAAATATAGCATTGTTGCCTGGCCGCTTCTGTAGTGGGCCTCGAGTCTGCTGGATTTGCCATTACACAACCAACATTCAGTTAAAGCCGTTTCTTAGATTTTTCAATACATGATTTTTCTTTTGAGATAACTAGGACTTGCTTCTGGATAAAACTGTGAATATATATGTGTCAATACTATGGATCCAGAAACCTCTGGAATCAACCATTCTCTCATCCACTTCACAAATATTTACTGAATCTTATCGGGTACTCCTAGATTATTTTAACACACTATTTCAAGAAAAACTGGCAATTCTAATTTTAAAAAATTATCATAAAAGTGACACATGTTCTTTTTGGGTAACTGAAAAAACACAAGTCAGAAAAAAAAAAAAAGAAACAGAAATCAACACCAACACCACCTGAGACAGCCACATTATCAAGTTAACAATTTGGCGTGCATGCTTCTGGGCTTCCCTGGTGGTCTAGGTAGGGGTTAAGAATCCGCTTGACAATGCAGGATGTGCAGGTTCAGTCCCTGGATTGGGAAGATCTCCTAGAGAAGGAAATGGCTACTCACGCCAGTATTCTTGTCTGAGAAATCCCATAGACAGAGGAGCCAGCCGGGCTACAGTCCATGGGTCCCAATTGTCGGATACCACCAAACAACTAGACAACAATTCATGCTTCTAGCATTTTCCCCTGAATTTCTTACATGGTTGCTTTGTGTTCTGTTTTTTTTTTTTTTTTTAGACAAAAGTGAGGCTATAGTGTATATATTGTTTTAGAAATATTTTAAAATTTACTATATAACAGAATTTTTTGTTATTAACATTTAACATCATTTTTTTTTAATGTTTAAAGAGCATTCCCTATAAAAATGTATAGTAGGATTTTACTAACTCCCTGAAGTTAATTGTTTAGGTTGTTTTCAATTTTTCACTACTGTAAATTGCATTGTGATGACAAGTCTGATATTCAATAAATATGTTTAATAAATGTGTAAATGAATGGTTTACTAAGTTAAGTCTTTAAGTACATACCCAATTATTTCCTTAGCTCTTAAGAGACATAAAACTTTTGAGTATTCATACAGTTATAATTCTGGACACGGCTATTAAAGAAGGCACAGAAATATAATGTGGTAAAAACAGTAATCTAAACATAAAGATAAGCACATAATACTTGAGGGATGGAAGACAAACTAAAAATATTAACCATAATGATGTAAAAGTAAAGTGTGGCTCCCAGAAGCTGGAATATTGGAAAGAAGGTTAGCACATGGGGCACTTATAATGCCATTTTACAAAATGGCAAGTTGGTGGACTGAAAGTTGATGAATCAAAAAATAAGTCTATCAATTTGAAACTATAAAGATAATTAATGAAAGAATTTCAAAAATATAAATATCAAATAATGGGGGATGGAGAAAGGAGGAAATAGAAAAAGTGACTTAAATTCTTATTTTTCATACTAAAAAAGTCCACAGATATAGTCTAAAGTTGTTAATTCAAGAAACAGAAGTTTACACATATTATTAATATAGCCTCATGGAAGTAATTCTAAGAGAAGCTAAAAACAAATAATGAAATTATTTTTAAAGGTTGTCTCTGGACCATAGGGCTACGGGGTGGGAAAGAGAGAAAAGGGAGGAGACTCATGTTTTTTCTCAATCATAAATTTTCCTCCACTATTTAATTTGTTAGGAAGAACAAAGAATACCCTGATATAATTGGCTGAAAAACCAGTAATTATCCACTTTGGATCCCCTAACTATATATATCTTCTTATCTTGATAACCAGTCAGACCTAGATGCTCACAAAGAGTTATCTTTAACTAGATGTCTAAGACCTTGGAGGCCATCTAGTCTGATTTTCTCATTTTACAGATTGAGACCCAGAAAGGCTGAGATCCAAAGTCACAGCTCGACTTGGCAGCAAAATCAAAATCTGAACCCACATCTCTGGCCTTCTAATTAAGTGCTCCATCAAAGCTCCCTACTTTGTCCCAGAGCACAGTCTCTGACCATAACATGCTTGGGCATGTTAACTCTATCCCACACTATCCTGTGTATATCTTCAACCCAAGATTTGGATCTTACCAATCTGATCACATGGACCACAGCCTTGTCTAACTCAATGAAACTATGAGCCATGCCGTGCAGGGCCACCCAAGACAGACGGGTCATGGTGGAGAGTTCTGACAAAACGTGGCCCACTGGAGAAGGGAACGACAAACCACTTCAGTATTCTTGCCTGGAGAACCCCATGAACAGTATGAAAAGGCAGAAAGATAAGACACTGAAAGATGAACTCCTTAGGTCGGTAGGTGCCCAATATGCTACTGGAGATCAGTGGAGAAATAACTCTAGAAAGAATGAAGAGACGGAGCCAAAGCAAAAACAACACCCAGTTGTGGATGTGACTGGTCATGGAAGTAAAGTCCGATGCTGTAAAGAGCAACAATGCATAGGAACCTAGAATATTAGGTCTATCAATCAAGGCAAATTGGAAGTGGTCAAATAGGAGATGGCAAGAGTGAACATCAACCTTTTAGGAATCAGTGAAGTAAAATGGACTGGAATGGGTGAATTTAATTCAGACGACCATTATATCTACAGCTGTGGGCAAGAATCCCTTAGAAGAAATGGAGTAGCCATTGTAGTCAACAAAAGCGTCCGAAGTGCAGTACTTGGATGCAATTTCAAAAATGACAGATTAATCTCCACTCGTTTCCAAGGCAAACCATTCAATATCACAGTAATCCAAGTCTATGCCCCAACCAGTAATGCTGAAGAAGCTGAAGTTGAATGGTTTTATGAAGACCTACAAGACTTTCTAGAACTAACACCCCAAAAAGATATCCTTTTCATTATAGGGAACTGGAATACAAAAGTAGAAAGTCAAGAAATACCTGGAGTAACAGGCAAATCTGGCCTTGGAGTACAGAATGAAGCAGGGCAAAGGCTAATAGAGTTTTGCCAAGAGAATGCACTGGTCATAGCAAACACCCTGTTCCAACAACATAAGAGAAGACTCTACATGTAGACATCACCAGGTGGTCAGTGCTGATATCAGATTTATATTCTTTTCAGCCAAAGATGGAGAAGCTCTATACAGTCAGCAAAAACAAGACCGGGAGCTGACTGTGGCTCAGATCATGAACTCCTTATTGCCAAATTCAGACTTAAATTGAAGAAAGTAGGGAAAGCCACTAGACCATTCAGGTATGACCTAAATCAAATCCCTTA